GGTCAGCCAGAAATGCAGACTTCTTAGGACCCTTCTTCATGGAAGCGTGGTCCTTACAAATAAACTTTGAAGAGAGATTTGTGACTCTTAAACATCATTTCTAGCCATGAGAAAGAAAACAAGCAATACTTGCTATTTCTAGTCTTTAGGACTCAAATCCAGATGGTGGATGGGCTTGGAATTTTTGTTTCTGTCTTAGCTTCTGCTATGAAACTCTGTGTCCTGACAGACTGTTGCACTTCATTGACGTAAATGAATTATTCATTGGAGCTGGGGCTGGAAGAGGCAGGAGAGAGAATGAAGCAACGTATTAAGCTAAAATGTCTGTACACCACAATGAGGAATACACGGGAGGAGCTCAATGTCAATATATGTCAAGAATGGTTGATGGGCATTGCAGAGACTTTGGGAGATAAACTGCAGCCCTGGAACAGTGAGACCTGTGCTTCAGGAAGGGCTGGAGGTGTGATGCTGCACATCAACAGTGTATTTCCAAAGCTTGGAAGTCAAATGGTTTGGGTTGGTAGGGGCTTTTAAAGACCATATAGTCCAACCCCCCTGCCATGGACATGGACATCTTCAACTTGATCAGGTTGATCAGAGCCCTGTCCAGCCTTACCTTGAGCACTTCCAATTATGGGGCATCCATAATTTCCCTAGGCAACCTGTCTCTCTTCAGCCTCATCATGAAAAATTTATTCTTTAATGTCAGTATAACTGACTCTTTTGCTTTAAAACTGCTGCCCCTTGTCCTGTCAGTACAGGTGCCTCGGTAAAAAGTATCTGTCCATTTTTCCTGTAAAACCCCTTTAAGCATTGAAAGGCTGCTCTGAGGTCTCCCTGGAGCCTTCTCCAGGTTGAACAACTTTGATTTTCTTAGCCTTCCCTTATAGGAGAGCCACTCTAGCCCTTTGATCATCATCATTGGCCTCCTCTGAACTCACTCCAACAGCTCCATGTCCTTGTATTGAGGGCTCCAGAACTGGATGCAAGTACTCCAGGTGAGGTCTCACCAGAGCAGAGCAGAGGGGCAGAATCCCCTTCCTTGCCCTGCTGGCCACACTTCTTGTGATGCAGCCCAGGATGTGGTTGGCCTTCTGGACTGCGAGCACACATTGCTGGCTCGTGTCCAGCTTCTCATCCACCAGCATCTTCGATTTATGAAGTCTGGTGGAAATGGGAAGTATTTGCTACTTGGGTATCTCTTGGAAAAGTAACACAGGAAGGCTTGAAAAGACAAAGAGTTAATCACAGCATGGTAGGGGTTGGAAGGGACCTCTGACGGTCAGCTAGTCCAGCCCCCCGGCTAGAGCAGGGTCACCTAGATAAGGTGTTTTTCTAGAGTTGGCTGTTCTAGGTTACAGCCAGTTTTATTAAAAGTGGTTAAAAATCTTAAAGGCAGAGGTAATTCAGGTGCAAGTGGCTGTGGAGTTGGCATTTGGTGCTCTTGAGAAAACAGGGAGATGAGAAGAGCGGCATAAGGACCTCGAAAGGCAGTTTCGGTAAATGTGGGTGCTGGTGCCTGGGTCTGTTTGGGAGATGATGAGTGGGATGACTGAAGAGAGGTGCTTTTTTTAAAAAGCTTTGGCCCAGCAGCAATCTCCTAATGTGAAGGAAAAATGGCATAGCACGGACTCGTAAGGATCAATCAAAATGGAACTGCAGAAATTGGGAGGAAAGGCACATGATTAAGTGTGAAAAGATGAGGGGATGGAGAAAAAATGATGGATGATTCAGAGAAAACTGATGCATTTAATGTTTTCTTTGCCTCACTATGTCCTTTTTACAAGCAAAAGAAGGAACCAAACTAAATTATCACAATATAGCAGAAAAATTACACTCGGAATAGATACTGGTATGTAGCCAGAGAGGGTATTTTGAGTGAGACCACTCTACATTTTACTGCA